AAAAGAAGAAAAGAAAAGGTGGAAGAAGAAGAAATTAGTATATAAACACACAAAATTAGTAAAGAAAAATAAGAAAATGTGTTGATTGGACAACATTTTATGTTCTTCCTTGCTTATTGGTTCAGGTTTTGAAGTCTTTGAGGGTTCAATACAGCATTTAGCAATGCTTGTGTTGATTAAACCCTAACAAATAAGAAATAATAAAAATAAATTAGTATATAAACACACAAAATGAAGTTTAAAAATGTTTATTTTATACAACCTCAAAAAATTAAGAATATAAAAGTTTTTTATAACACGCTATAGAAAACTACTTGGCGGTTAGGCGAGGCGAGCCTCCAAGGGCGCCTTGTCGCCTAGGCATCGCCTTGACGACTATGGGTGATGCCTGATTGCCTTAACTAACTAGTAGACATAATGAAAATGAGAATGCTAACATAACATGTTTCCAAGGCTAACTTGAAGGGAAAAAAACTAAAGCAATTGATAAATATAAGCTATGGTACAGACTACAAAGAAGAAATCATTAACAAAAATGGAATTGTGAAATAGTACATGAATATCTCAAAAAAATGAACTTTTAGATGTTAAAAGAAATGGGAATAAGATAATTTTAAATTTTGAATTATACTTGTTTCAGAAGATGAAACCATTAATGTAATTAATGATTACGCACCTCAGTGAGTCTAGAGGGAAGATAAAAGACAATTTTGGAAAAACAGAAATTGACTAGCTCAAGATATTCCAAGGAGAAATGTTTTTTAAAGAAGGGGATCTAAAATGGTTAGACAGGGAAGGGGGAGTTCAGGGATAATAGGGTGCATGGGAATTTGGGCTTGGGGTGAGAAATGAGACAAGATATATTTTAGAGAAAAAACTTGATGATTGGAGGGGTTGGAGACCAAAAGATGCCTTGATGTGACCTCTTTTGTTACCTTGGTTTCACAATTTTTTTGATCAATAACAGTGAATTTTATTAAAGGATTGAAAAATTACATAGCAAAGGAGCTAAACATTCTTAACTCCCGAAGACATCTAATGTACACCCAAAATGTAAAGCAATTACAACACAACCCAAAAAATAGAGTTTCTGTTCACCCCTTGCCTAGCCAGACCATCTGCCAATGAATTTGCACTTCTCTTTACCCATGTACACTGAATTTCAATGTCCTTAGTCAGCCACTTAAATTTCCTCTTTTCATTGCTGTAATTCCAGAGCCTAGAGTTGTCCGCTTTTAGCCAGTTCACCACAATTTCAGGGTCCCCTTCTATGATCAATTTATTAATATGCATGTCTTGACCCTTTGTACCCTTCAAGAGTTGCTAGTATCTCAGCCCTCAAGGAATCTCCCACCCCAATTGGACCAGAATACATAGCTAACAGATTCCCTTTTTCATCTCTTATAACCTCTATTTTGGAGGACCCTGGATTGCCCATACTGCTGCCATCGAAATTCAGTTTAGTAAAACCATGAGGTGGAGGGGTCCAGCAAGAACTTGAAACCTTCTTAGCTGAAGCTGAATCTGCAATCTCCTTCCAATTTCTTAGCAACTCATTAACTGAGAAATCCACAAATATGTCCAAAGTTTTCAACCAATGTATCACCCTAATATGAGTGACTTCCAATATTACTTCCAAGCTTTTCTCCTTATTTGAAAAAATCTGTGAATTTCTCTCTTCCCAAACAGTCCAACAAACTGCAGCTCTAGCACATCTCCAAGAATCTTAGCCCTTTTTGTTGGCCAGTTAGGCATGGAAGTGAATAAGCTTTGCACATTGAATGAGGGAGTCCACCTGCACCCAAATAGAGAAGTAAACCATTTCGAAATGACTTTAGCAAACTAACAAGAAATTAGTAAATGGAATCCAAACTCACCATCAACTTTACAGAGGCACACCAGTGAGGAGACAAACAACTATTGAGTCTTTTTCTTTGAAGTAAATCTCCTGTATTAACTCTTTCCAGAAAGGCTTCCCAACAGAAAGTCCCAACCATTAGAGGTATAGGTTGATACCACACCTCTTTAATAGGGAAAGACAATCCAACAGAAGAAGGTTGTATTAGGGATTTAAATAATAAGGCATAGGTGAAGGAACCCGAGGCAGTGAGTGTCCAAATTCTACTGTCTACCTTTGTTGGTTTCACAATTCATAACAAGGGAGAGGTTAGGGAGGATGTTGCCTATAGAATTAGAGCAAGATGGGTAAAATCAAGGGGTTCATCTGGAGTGTTGTTTGATCAGATAATACCATTTAGGTTGGAAGGGGAAATTTTATAAAATAGCTACATAGCCAACAATGTTGTATGAAGCCAAGTGTTGGGCAGTTCAAGAAACATTTTCGAATAATAAGTACAGGAGAGATTGAAATATTGAGTTTGGTAAGTGGGTGAATTAGAAAAAAAATACGGTAAGAAATGAGCATATTTATGAGAATCTATGAATAGCATGATAGGTGATGTAGAGAAGATGGGCCGAATGGCCCATAGGTTGTTTATTCTTTCTTGTTATTTATGTTTCTTTTCTGTAATGGGCCTTATTCTGGGCCCATCCTGTCAAATATTAAGTTCCTTGTAAATTCTTGCCCAACTAAGGGCCTCCTTGTAATTATTCAATTATATCTAAATAAAATAGTGTTAGGGTGCTAAGAGAGTGTAAGTTCAAAACTCTCTTCTCAGACCCTCATTGCCAAACTCTCTGCTCTCCTCTCTTTAGTTTTCTTCATGGTATCAGAGCATACCTGAACTTCAATATCCTAGGGCTGGAAGCTTAACTCGTGTTGCCTGATTCTTGGAGGTCATTGGAAGTGCCCAAGACTCGAATCTCTTGGAGAAGTGGTTCGGTGGCCAGGAAGAATCAGAGAAAAAGGGGAAGGGGAACAACTCGGTTCTGGTTTGAAGCTCGAAACTGTAAGTTGTGCTCAGATTTCTGGGTTCAATTTTCTTCTAGTTGTGCTGTATTGCTTTCGAATGTGTTTGGACTGTTGAAGTGTCCGAAAACTCTGGTTGTTCTGTACTACCTCGGCTGCCATTGAATCTGGTTTAACCCAGAATTTTCTGAGCTGTTTTTCACTCCTTCTTGGACTGTTAAAACTGCCGAAACATCCTTGTAACAAGGCTGTGGATTGTTACTTATACCTGGCTGTTTTTGAGGGGCTGTACGAACTGTTCTTGAGGCCTGTTTTTCTTTTTGACAGTGGGGTTGTCTCTATTGCCCACACTGCGTTTGTAAAAAGGGCTATTTCAACAATACCAAGTGGTATTTACTTTGAAGTCCAGATTTGAAACTTTGAAGTCTAGATTTGAAAAAGGTACTTCGGCTGAGTGCTTAGAAGTTTCTGTTTACTTCTTGAAGGCTGAACTCAGTGTATTGCCTTCTTGTGGTCGGCTGAACTTTGTTATTGCTTGTTCTTATTCAGTATACTTGTAGAAGTCATCTGAAATCATATTTGGAGTGTTTACATGATGTACTCCTCAGAGTTTGAAAACAAAAGTAGTGCTGAAT